GCACCACCCCCGGCACCATCGGGGAAGGGGGTACCATGACGGCTGGTCCCCCCAGACACACGCCGCGCACCCCCCACCGTGCAGGGCACCATGTCCCCATGGGCGGTACACCATGCCCCCGGGACGTGCGCCACGTGCCCACGGGTGGCATGCCATGCCCCTGGGATGCGTGCCAGCCACACCCCCACCTGATCTCCGCCCCCGATGCCGGAGCATGCAGCTTTGCCACTGGGACAGAGCAATGGGAGCTCACCGCGCCGTGGGGATTCGAACCGCCAACTTTCCGATCAGCAAGCCCAAGAGGCTCAGTGGTTTAGACTACAGCGCCACCAGCAACTGGAGGGCTATAGACTCCCCATCACCAATTTTGTGAATTGCTGCTTTTTAAGAATGGTGCTATTTCATGGGTTCTTTTTATCAGAGAGCTGGTGTGTTGTATCATGGCTAGAGTTTCAGTCTAGGTTCACATCCCCACTCAGCCAGCTGGGTGATCTTTAGCCAGTCGCTGTTTCTTCACCCAACCTACCTCACAGGGATGTTGTGAGGATAAAGTGGAGAGAGGAAAATCCATGCATGCCACCTTGAGCTCCTTGGGGTATAGGTAGGACACAAATATAATAAATGAAATAAATTATTTGGCTTCTGCTGAACACTGCCCTGTGGCTTATGCCAACGGCAACATAGAAGTAACCCAATTAAATTAAAATGAATAAATCAACCATTATCCTTCCTGAAAGCCAGTTCCACAGGAGAACCAATCTCATTCCAGTTCTTGAAAAATCCACCTTTTCTTTTCCCCTTCTACGTGGCTTTTAAAATGTCCTGGGTTTTTTTAACTTGAAAACTCACTGGAGTTTGGTGCCGGGGAAGCCTAATGGGTCTTGTTCAGCAGTGGAATCAAATGGAGGAGAAAGTGGTTTGTGTGTGTTGAAAGAAAGAGAGAGGTCAATAAACACAGAAAGCTATGTAGAGTACCTGAAGTGGAAACTGTGTGTTCAGCCATTTTCAAATAAAGCAGGCAAAGAATGCCCTATAAATAGCTTATTAAACTATTTATGATTTGTGCCTCCTCACGGGGGGGAGATCAGCATCTGTGGGAAGCCATTCACAGGTGTTTGGGCTGAAATTCCAGCAATCTTGCCCTCGCTATAAAATAAAAAACCCTACCCCGTTCTTCACAGTTTTCCAGAATCCTGCTTCTTGAGCCAAGTTCTTTGTCACCATCTGTCGTGGGAAGGCTGAAGCCCTCTAGAGAGGTTGTTTGACTGAGATTTGGTCTGTGAGAATGAGCAGGAAGGTTTTCTGTATTTTTGGAGTAGGTGGACATCCTAAAAGATGTAAGAAGGGCCCCCCTGGATCAGACCAGTGACCCACCTAGTCCAGCAGCCTGTTATCACAGGGTCCAATCAGATGCCTCTGGGAAATCTGCAAGCGGGGCTTAGGCATAAGAGCACTCTCCCCTTCTGTAGTTTCCCAAAACTGGCATTCAGAGACATCCTGCCTAAGAGAGCGGCAGGAGAAAATAGTCATCATGGAGAGTAGCTGCTGGGAGTTCTCTTTTTCTTTTTCTTGAAATCATTTTTATTTGATTTTACAAATATAAAGTTATAACAATACAATCACACACACCAACAGTTAAAAGATTCCCTCAAATCTCTGGAATTCCCACCATCCCCTCCATGGGTCCTTTTGTTAAATCTTTTCTACTGCAATAATCCACATTTTATATACTGTATTTTTCTGTGTATAACACACGCCCCCATGTATAAGGAGCCCCCTATATTCGAGGACTCGAAATTAAGGAAATGGGGGAGAGTGCCACGATGTATAAGACTACCCTCCTTTTTAACATTATTTTTTAGTTTAAAAAAACCTAATCTTATACACGGAAAAAGTATGGTAATTCCAATATCTCCATAGTGCTTGCTTCCTTTGAAGTGTTATTGCAATCCTGCTAGTGTTTTCATCTGCTTACAGTGGTCTCAAAGATATAATATTTTCCCATTCTTTGTTGAAGTTTTGGTCTTCTTGGTTTCTGAACTTTCCGGTCAATTTTGCCATTTCAGCATAGTCCATCAGTTTAATTTGCCATTCTTCTCTGGTAGGGACTTTATTTTCTTTCCATCTCTGGGCTAACAGCATCCGTGCGGCTGTCATCGCATGCATAAAAAGTATTTTCTGCTGCCTTGGAATATTGGCACCTGGGATTTTTCTCCTCCTTTGTTCTCCCTGCTTTGCACATTGCCCAATGTGCTGTCATGTGACTATTCTGGTTCATGTAAAACACTTCTCTGAGGACAAAAAACCCTTATGGATATATTATTCATCTTGGCCTTAAGAGCTCCACACTTCCATCTCCAACTACACCCATATAATTCACAACACAAAAAAGCCAATCATTACATCAATAAAATAACACCTCAATATCAGATCATTTCAAAACATAAGTGGTCTCCAAGGTTAAGCTTACTCAGAGTAGACCCACTGAAGTTAATGGAACTGGCTAACTTTTATCTGTTCATTTCAATGGGCCTACTCAGAATAAAAGTTATAGCCCAGTACGACAAATAAATCGTTTTAGATAATAGAAACATCACAACATTTTAAATCATTGTAAAATAAACTGCAAATCATTAAAAGCATTTCCATCAACCATAGCAAGCATTTCCAATACAATCACATATTAACATTAATAAAACCAGCAGCCACTGCACAACGGCACCATGCAAAGTTGTATAAAAATAGCAAATAAAGTATACAAGATTTATTGAGGCTAAGAGTTAAAGAGGGCACAATTCCTAGCAGTTTGATCATATATTATAAAATGCATCTCAATTAATAAATCTATGTTATAAAGTAAAGGGGTTAAGGGTTCTAAATCCTACCCTGAATAGACCCACTGAAATTAATAAAGCTACATTAGTCGTATCCTTTAAGTTCAGTTGGTCCACTAGGGAGCAGGACTAACTTTGGATGCAATCCTAAAACTTGAATCACAGAATTGTATTTTGTCAAGTTGGAAGGAGCCCTGCGGATCATCTAATCCAATCCACTGCAATGCAGGAATATGCAGGTGTCTCGTCCAGGAATCAAACCTGCAACCTTGGCATTATCAGCAACACGTTCTAACCAACTGAGCTATCCAGGCTAAGTGTACCCATTGCACAGAGTTGCTGTTTAGTTCTGCCTGAAGCAGGAGTGGAGAACCCATCGCCCTCTAGCTGCTGCTAGACTCCAACTCCCATCAGCCACAGACAACATGGCCAATAGTCAGGAATGATGGGAGCTGGAGTCCCAAAACATCTGGAGGGCCACAGGTTCCCCATTCCTGGCTCAGAGCAAAATATTGTAGCAAATGTGGAGAGGTTTCCTAGGGAGAAACATCTGAAAAGCTAATAGATTCCTCACCCCCCAGTAAGGCTAATAAACATTTCTTGAGGGGGGGGGACCTATAACATTCCTGGAGGCAACAAGAGCTTCAGTGCCCATTATTGCTATACTAAGGTTCTTTCTTTCTTTTTTCCCCCCTGCGACACAAAACCCCCTTTGCACCTACAAGTCCTCCGCTCACGTTTCGAAGTGCCTCTTTATCTTGAATCTTTCAGCTCGGATCTGCTTCTGATTCATAACCACCTTTAATTAGGTGCTGGCACCTTTGCCATGCTGGCTGCAAGGGAGAGTAATTAAATTTAATGGAAGCCACCCTCGCTTTGAAGCTGGCCATAACTTAAGGCTATCGGGAGAAGCAATTAAAATGCAACTGTTGCAGGTCTCTCTACCCATTAACCGCACACACAGGTGACTGACTATACACACACACAAACAGAGAGAGAGAGAGAGAGAGAGAGAGAGAGAGAGAGAGAGAGAGATGTATATTTCAGTCAAACTTGATAGCTTTCTATAATGCACTCAGATTATATATGTTGTTATTGTTACTGAAACTTCTCTCCCACTGTTCTTAAAAAAAAACAAAAAGGCAAGGGGTCTTAAAACATAACACCACCTCAAAACAACAACACTATCCAGAATCACCGCAGCTCAAATGGCAGGCAGCTAGATCCCATGGATGCTTACTCAGAAGGAAGTCCCCCTTTGTTCCCTGTAACATTGAACTCGGTGGCACTGCGTAGGACTGTGGTGTGTGAGGTTCAGAGTCAGAGACAGTCACTTGCATCACAAGTACATCCAAACCGAAACCTGGAGAGGCTCCATTGATGCAGGCATCAATCCCCTGACATCTCCAGGTAGGCTTGGCAAAGGATCCTTTCTGAGTACTCTGCCAAGTCAGTGTCGATAATAATGACCTTGGTAGACAAGCTTGTCTGATTTGGTACAAAGCAATCCCACCCTCCCCATATTTTCTGTTCGTCTTGGACCACATTCCCCACTAACCTATGATCCTGATTTTATAGATGATTAGGAACAACCTACTGGGACACGGGTGGTGCTGTGGGTTAAACCACAGAGCCTAGGACTTGCTGATCAGAAGGTCGGCGGTTCGAATCCCCGCAACGGGGTGAGCTCCCGTTGCTCGGTCCCTGCTCCTGCCAACCAAGCAGTTGGAAAACACGTCAAAGTGCAAGTAGATAAATAGGTACCGCTCTGGTGGGAAGGTAAATGGCGTTTCTGTGTGCTGCTCTGGTTCACCAGAAGTGGCTTAGTCATGCTGGCCACATGACCCGGAAGCTGTACGCTGGCTCCCTCAGCCAATAAAGCGAGATAAGCACCGCAACCCCAGAGTCGGCCACGACTGGACCTAATGGTCAGGGGTCCCTTTACCTTTACCTTACTAGGAACAGCCTCTATTGAGATATCATCTATTGTCAAATAATCCTTCCACTGTGCAGGTATTCCAGGTTAAAAAAAAAGAGTTGGAATTAGTAACCTGAAAACATCCACCAGGATGGCTAGATCAGCTTCACCTTGTATAGTTTGGCTAAAGCAACAGCCTTGCCTACCAGAGTGGTGGTTGTATATGACATCACCACTCTAGAACCTCCATTCTTGAACATTCTGTTTGGCCTCCAATCCTACCCTGCCTCACCGGACCAGCTTCTCCAGGCCAGCTGCATAGAGAACCATCCAAAGAATGTCTGATCCCAAGCTTCTAGACATCCCAGCTGTGATCTTTGACAATGGGTCTGGATTATGCAAGGCTGGCATTGCTGGGGACAGTGCCCCAAGGGTAGTCATTACAGCAATTGTTGGCCGCTCCAAAGCCAAAGCCACAATGCTTGGCGCTGGCCAGAAGGAATTTTACATTGGAGAAGAAGCTCAGTGCAAAAGGGGCGTCTTGTCACTGAATTACCCCATTGACCATGGCATCGTGACATCTTGGGACGACATGGAGAGGATATGGAGGCATGTCTATGAGTGTGAACTCAGGATCAAATCCAGCGACAGACCAGTGCTCTTGACTGAAGCCCCGCTGAATCCTCTCCAGAACCGGGAGAGAATGACGGAGATTATGTTTGAAAATTTCAAGGTGCCTGCTATGTATGTTGCTGTCCAGGCTACTTTGGCACTCTATGCATCAGCACGGACCACGGGGATAGTCATAGACAGTGGGGATGGTGTCACTCACACAGTCCCCATCTACGAAGGCTACTGCTTGCCACATGCTGTCTCCAGGTTGGACGTCGCTGGGCGGGACATCACTGAGTACTTCATGAGGCTCCTTCTGGAGAGTGGGCTTTCCTTCGTCAGCACAGCAGAAAGGGAAATCGTGAAAGACATCAAGGAGAAGCTCTGCTACGTGGCTTTAGATCCCATCCAAGAAATGAAAGCCAAGCCAGAATACCTTCTCAGAGAGTATAAACTACCAGATGGCAATATCATCAGGATCGGAAGCCAACTCTTCCGAGCCCCTGAAGCTCTTTTCGCGCCAGCTAACATTGGTGTCGATGCTCCCGGAGTCCACAAAATGGCTTTCAACAGCATCATGAAATGTGACATTGACGTCCGCAGAGATCTATATGGGAACATTCTCCTCTCAGGTGGATCCACCTTGTTTTATGGCTTGGATGAGCGTATCCTGAAGGAAATGCAGCTTCAAGTGCCGATCGGGATATCGGTAAGGATCATTGCCCCGCCAGAGAGGAAGTACTGCGTGTGGATCGGGGCCTCCATCCTGACTTGCTTGACATCTTTCAGACAAATGTGGGTCACCCTCAACGATTACAAAGACTTTGGCCCAGGTGTCGTTCACCGGAAATGTTTTTAAGACTGACGGCCTTCACCTGTGATCTTGCTAGAACAAAGGGAGCTCAAGAAAGGCCACAAACAGGTGCACTTCCCAAATATTTTCTTTTTTTAGAAAGAGATTCAGCTGTTGTCTCTTTGGATTTATTGGCTGGCCAAAATTTAAAAGAAAATAAAAAGAGAAACACACATTTGGATCATAGTGGCTTTTCATAGTTATCATTCTGTGTCTTCTGTGGTCTAATGCAAGGGTCAGCAAACTTTTTCAGCAGGGGCCCAGTCCACTGTCCCTCAGATCTTGTGGGGGACTGTACTATATTTTGTTTTTTTTGGGGGGGGTGATGCAAGAGCACCACGAGCTCCAGTGGCTGCTTACCTGTGTCTTGCAAGCGGCAGGGGCTAGCAGTGGTGGTGGTGGCAGAGGGACGATGAGTGGTGTGTGAAAGGCCTCTGGAGAGGGGCTGCTTAAAATGGCGGCCACTCAAGCGGTGCTGCTGCTGGCACCAACAAAGCCCAGCCCCCTTCCTCCTCTAGGCAGGGCAGGGAGAAGCCAGGAGGTGGGAGGAAGGAGGAGGTGGCGGCGCCGTGTAAGGGAGAGGGAAAGAAATTACGTGCTGGTGATTCACGCGGTGATTCCCGGACCGTCCGCAGGCCGGATCCAGAAGGCAATTGGGCCTGATCTGCCCCTCGGCCCTTAGTTTGGCTACTCATGGTCTAATGGCTAAGATATGACTGAAAATAAGGGAGGGTGGCAGGCACTGGAAGGGGACCAAATTCAAAGAAATGTTTGTGGTCTATTTGTAAGAATCTGCTTTATATCAAGTCATTGGTGCATCTTGCTCAGTATCTTCTACAAAGCCTGGCAGTGGCTTTCTAGGGTGTAGATGAGGAACATTCCCAGCCCAACCTGCCAAAGGCTTTAACATGTAAATCAGATTGGCACATAAGGCTAGTTGCCGGTTACAGGAATCAGCAGGTTCATAAGAGGTGAAACCCATTACTAAGTGCAAGCTAAGATGTTGATCCCACAAGCAATACCCACCGTACTGCATCTTCTTTTTTAAGCACAGAGTGGGCACAGCTCTTTGTGTGGCAAGTTGACTGGAGTTCCCAGACTGGGCAAGCAAACAGGCAGTCCTTGTGTTTGAATAGGTGACTTTTGCTCATGGTGGCATCTATGTGTCCATGACAGGGGAGGCAGCCACAGACAGTTCAGTATCAGACTCACTTTCAACTATCTCTCCTAACCATCTCCTGAATGCTAAGAGGGGATGCTGATGGTGGCTCACGGGCAAGAGGCAACGGACTAGGTATATCAGGAAGGAAGGAATGGGACATTCCTCTGTTATCCCACTTTGGCCTTCGCTGGGGTCCAGATCTCCACTCCCTAACCTTCTTGGTCCTTCTCCTTGGTATCAGGCACCTCCTGTGGCTCTAATTTGACAACCTTCAACTCACTGGGACCTTCCCCTGGGTCTTCCAGCACTAACTCTGTATGTGCCTCCCACACCTCATCTGGATCTAACCACCCACTCTACAACACTTCCACAGACACATGACATCAATAGGACATCACACACACTGCTCTGAGCTCTCTTTGAAGATGGGTGAGGTAAACCAGTAATGAAAAGTACACATTCCAGTAATCCATGGACAACAATTGAGGGGGTCCTCTTTAAGATTTATCCCTGCCCTCCTGATATTCTCTTACTCCAGCTGGCATCTCCTGAAATTCTGCTACTTCCCTTGTTCTCCATTACCCACCCTTAAGATGCACATTATTTCTTCTTCTTTACCTGTCCTCAACCTCCCACTTAATCATGGGAAAGAGCAATGCTCCCCAATATATCAGATGTTTTAGACCACAACTCCCATCACCCCTGTGCAACTCTCATCCATCCTGCCCATTGGCCATACTTGTTGCAGGGATGGGTATTGTAGTCCAACACATCTGGAAGGTGCTGTGTCAGAGGAAGACTGGACCAGATGTTCTAACCCTCTTCCTCTTTCATTCTTTTCCATGGCAAGCCCTGGGGCTGGGCTGGGGCTGGAGGATGGAAGTTCATCCAGGGCCCCATGATGCTGCAGCACTGCCCACTTCCTTGCCTCTCCTAGTTCTCACCTCTGGCCTCATGAGTCTGAGAGTCAGGCAGTTCCCGATAAAGATTTATTTGGACTCCGTAGAAACTTGCGAAGTGAGAGCTGGACCATAAAGAAGGCAGATCACCAAAGAATTGATGCTTTTGATTTATGGTGTTGGAGGAGACTCTTGAGAGTCCCATGGACTGCAAGAAGATCAAACCTATCCATTCTTAAGGAAATCAGCCCTGAGTGCTCACTAGAAGGACAGATTGTGAAGCTGAGGCTCCAATACTTTGGCCACCTCATGAGAAGAGAAGACTCCCTGGAAAAGACCCTGATGTTGGGAAAGATAGAGGGCACAAGGAGAAGGGGGAGACAGAGGATGAGATGGTTGGACAGTGTTCTCGAAGCTACCAGCATGAGTCTGACCAAACTGCGGGAGGCAGTGGAAGACAGGAGTGCCTGGCATGCTCTGGTCCATGGGGTCATGAAGAGTCGGACACGACTAAATGACTAAACAACAAGAAGAAGCTTGCAGCACATCTTCCTCCTACCTGCACACAGAAAGCCTTATCTGTTTGGGGAAAGTGGGGGATTTGTGCTCTTTCAGCTTCTTCCATTTCCAGCTGCTGGATTTCAGGCTGATGGATTTGTGCTTCATCAGACATGACACAGTATGGTGTGGATGCATCTTAATTATACACAAGTAAAAGTGCTCTTTTGATGCCATTCCCCCTCCCTGGGTTATAGTCTAGGCACTCAGGAGACCAAACTTGCCTCCTCGCACATGGAGAAAGTCCTCGTTATTGTAATATGCATTTTAAATGTTTTCAAACTCATGAAGAGACTGATTAAACACCAAATGAATCAATCTAACTGCATGCCTGAAAATTAAAGAAAGTTTTTTTTAAAAGCATTGTCATCAAATTGATAGCTAAACTAATAAGAGCAATTACGCAACTGCACACATAGAAGTTTTATCAATCTTCTGGTTTCCTAGAGACCACCAGACAATAACAGTGAGCAAACAATCACTAGCTGCCTTGCCCATTGTTATGTAAACCAGTTGTCACTGATCTTAGTGGAGGGCTTTGCACCTTTTAGTGCTGACGCACTGTTTCAAGAATGAAGTTTGTTTCTCCCTCTTGAGATGCCAAGAACATGTGCCGTTGAACCTTCGACACCAGAAAGTGTTTGTGGTGCCATCTTCTCGGAAGCTAGTTTGAAATGGTCCACGAGAATGAGAAAAGTAAGTCCCGAGTCTTCAACAGCCAAGCTGTGATTATTGACAATGGATCTGGGCTGTGCAAGGCTGGGGTCTCGGGAGAAGTTGGCCCACAGCATGTCATCGCTTCCGTCCTTGGGTGCCCCAAAAGCAAATTATCGCTCTCCAAAACCAGGCAAAAGGAATGCTATGTAGGCGATGAGGCCCAAGACAGGCGAGAAGTGTTGTCGTTGAGATATCCTATCGAGAGCGGCATCATTACTTCATGGGATGACATGGAGAAGATCTGGAAGCACATCTATGACAAAGGGTTGGGAATCAAAGCATTTGAGAGGCCTTTGCTAATGACGGAATCGCCTCTAAATCCCAAGGAAGATCGAGCCAAACTCACTCAGCTGATGTTTGAACACTTCAAGGTGCCTGCCTTTTACCTCTCTGTCCAGGCCATACTCTCTCTCTATGCTTCAGCCCGCTATACTGGTATAGTGATGGACAGCGGTTTTGGGGTCACCCACGCAGTGCCAGTTTATGAGGGATATTGTTTGCCCCACGCCGTCACCAGGTTGGATATTGGCGGCAGAGACATCACTGAGTACTTGAGGGAATTACTTCTGGAAAACAGGCAATACTTCAGAAATTTCCCCGAAGGGAACAACATTGTGGAAGACATCAAAGTGAAGTTGTGCTTCGTAGCCCTGGATGCCCACCATGAGCAGAACAAGAGGTCTGAGGACTACCCAAAGGAGTATGAACTTCCTGATGGCAACAGGATCAAAATTGGTGATGCTCTCTTCCTAGCTCCAGAGATCCTTTTCACACCCAGCAGCATTAAGAGAAGTGGGCAAGGCCTCCACAAAATGATTGCCAAGAGCATCAAAAAATGTGACCCCGCCATCCGCAGCATGCTCTATAGCAACGTGTTGCTCTCAGGAGGTTCCTCACTCTTTCCAGGGTTAGACGAGAGGGTCTTTAAAGGGCTCGAAGCTCAAGTCCCTCAAGGGGTTCCCATAAAGGTCATAGCACCCCCAGATCGGTGGTTCTCAACATGGATTGGGGCCTCCATCATTACATCTCTGAGCAGCTTCAAGCAAATGTGGGTCACTGCTTCTGACTATAGAGAGTTTGGACCAAATGTTGTCCAGAGAAGATGCTATTAAGGAGGACTTGGGATTTTGCATCACATACTATACCTGTAAACAACCATCAACAGCTACAGCTACTATAAAGCAATGCATTCACCTCTTTCAGAGGTTGAAATAAAAATGCCTTTGCAGGTTCTAACAAGTCACATGAGGTTTGTGTCAATCATTTCCTTGCCCAGTTGCCTTAAAGATGGCTTGATTCCTCGTGGTCCTACCAGGGATGGGGTAGAAATTCATTCAGTCCGCATTCTGCTGTGGACCTGCCTAATTTGCTCACCTTGAATCCAATACGCAAACTACAATGCAGCTCTCCTTTGAAATCCTCATTTCTTGGACCGTTGTGTTGCATTCTCCAACTCAAAAAAGGTATGCAAAAAAGGTATGCAAAAAGAATATTAGGAAAATGTGATACAGAAAAATGTATATATTACTGAAACAGCATGTGAAGATGTTAGAGGACATTGCTTCCAAATGATTATTATTATTTATTAAATTTATTAGTCTTTTTTTGCCATGGCAACTTACAATATTTTAAGCAAAAAATAAACTCAAACAGACATTAAAAATGGCGTTAAAAATCTAAATGAAAATACTTTTTTAAAAAAATAGATTAAAACATCCCACCCACCCAAGATAGCCATAAATAATTTGCCTGGTGCCTAAAGCTATGTAATGATGGCAACCAGGTGAGCCTCGCTGGGAAGAGCCTTCCACAAACAAGGAGCCACCACTGAAAAGGCCCATTTTCATGTTGCCACCCTTCACACCTCTTGCACATTTATTAGGAGAAAAACATGCAAAAATGAGCATTTGGGGTGAACTTGTTCTTCGTTTTTTAAAAAGCAAAGTGTTGTGGGAATATGTCAAACTGAACTAATGAATGGAAAAATGAAAAACTTATAGATTCTCCCACCCCTATGACCTTGAGTGGTCTGGGAATCCGACCTTGGAATGTAGTGATCATTCTTCCCTACTGCTCCCAGGAAAGAGTTTGGGTTCCTCTGCCCTTTGAATGTCTCAAAAAGCCAGCCATATTAAAGTTTGGGAAAGGGGAACTGACCTGTGCGTGTGGCCCTGAACTGCAGCACAACGGTGGAGAACCTGTGAACCCTCCAGGTGTTGTTGCCCTCCATCTCCCAGCAGCCCTAGCTAGCATAGCACATGGTCATGAGCTATGGGATTTGGAGTCCAACCACATCTGGAGGACTGCAGGTTCTCCATCCCCAAGTGTGCCATTATATCTGAACGAGACCAGTGCAGTTGGGTTGTATCCAATGTTAGTCCTACTCCAATTTAACTGATAGGTTTTTATAGACATGGACAATTAATTACAATGGACTCATTCTTAGCTTTGTATCTTGCTTCAAAAGACAAGAGTCGTAATATAATTATAATGAGACTTAACTGGCGTACTAGGTGTGGAGAACTTCAGACTAAGGGCCAAACACAGCCCTCTAGGCCCCTCAGACCTCTTGTCTTCAAAACTCTCATTAGGCCACACCCCCTTCTCCCCAGGCCACACCCCTTCATTGGTCCTGTTTCACACCCTGTGTGTTTTGAATGGCTGGAAAATGTCATTGAGGTCTGATAATGTATTGTCTGGACAGAGGTGTGTGTGACTGTGTGTAGAAACTAGCCTGTACAAAGGTAAAATTGGATTTGTTGCTCTCCCAATTTTGACTCTGGCCCACTCACCTCTTGCATGTGTTCACCTCCCAAAGGTTGCACAGAAGTCCTGGGGCTCAAAAATGTTCCCTACTCCTAATACCATAAGTTTATCTGACCATAATATACATATCCTTTGGGGAAACATTGAACCAGTTGCTCTTCATTTACAAATGAAATAATTTTTGGTTACATCTAACAAGGAGTCTGAATCATCACACTGATTTTAGGGATGGGTTTGTTTTGACCTTTAAAGTTGCTAGTAGCCAACTAAGTTCTACTCAGAGGAAATGTAGTGGAAATTGATGAACCCATATCATGACTTTGATTTCAATGGGTCTACCCTGAGTAGGATGAGCACTGGACACAACCCAAAAGGACATTTTCTTTATAATGCCTTTGCTTTGTAGGGTGAAATATAACTCTTCCACTGGTGTGCCATTTCACTGCCCCTTTTTGACATCATGATGCGTTTCTGATGTCACCTGAATGACCACCTCCATGTGGGCTGAACAGTGAAGGCAAGAATGAAAACAACTGTGTTGTGTTAGTGAGAGCTTTCCAAGCTGGTGTGGGAATTTCACAAGGGGTAAGACAATGGTTCTTCCTCCATTCTTAACTGGGCATTTGTGAACAGAAAATCCTTACTGATATTCCAGGCTGTCTGGGAGGCAGAGACACCATGGTCCCCATGTCCATGGTGCTCTGAACCTTCCTTCTTGAGACGGAGATTGAAAAACGGCTGTTCATCAACTCTGAACACCCATTTCTGATGCTCTTTGTCATCCAAAACCATCTTACAGTTTCTTGGAGGAGAATCTGTTTCCCGAAGCATATGCAACATGTTTGTATATTTAAAAAGCCACTAGAGGAACGGGAAAGGGGGGAAAGTTCCCTTTTTGTGACACTTAGAGATCTAGAATATTGATGGCCCAGTGTTCCATCCACAAAGAAAGACGGTAAAGTGGTTGAACATCCTGCTCCTTCATCTTTGGGCATGTCTCACCACGCAAAGGCAGATCTTCCAGCCGTCATTATTGACAATGGGTCTGGGCTATGTAAGGCAGGGCTCTCTGGAGAGCAGGCACCAAGAACGGTTGTTGCTACAGTAGTCGGCTACCCCAAGTCGCAAGCGATCATGTTTGGTCCTGTCCAGAGGGAGTCTTATGTTGGCAAAGAAGCCCAAGCCAAGAGAGGTATCTTGGCTTTTAAATACCCTGTGGAACATGGAATAGTAACATCCTGGGATGACATGGAGAAGATCTGGAGGTACATCTACAGACGTGGGCTCAGAATAAGAGCCCATGAGAGACCCGTGCTGGTGACAGAGGCCCCCCTGAACCCAGTGCCAAACAGAGAAAAAATGACAGAGATCATGTTTGAGAACTTCCATGTACCTGCCATGTTTGTGGGCCTGCAAGCTTTAATGGCCCTCTATGCCTCCGCTCGCACAACAGGATTAGTCTTAGATAGTGGAGATGGCGTCACTCTGACTGTCCCCGTCTACAAAGGCCATTGTCTGCTTCATGCCATTTCCAGGATGAATTTTGCCGGCCGGGATATCACCAGGTACCTGACGACGCTTCTCTTAGAGAGTGGCCACAGCTTCTTGAGCTCTGCCGAGAAGGAGATAGTGAAGGACATCAAGGAGAACCTATGCTACGTAGCTTTAGATCCTGACTATCAAAAGGGCAAAACCTTGGTTCATAAATATATCCTCCCGGATGGAAACCCTGTCCAGATTGGAGACCAGCTCTTCAGAGCCCCAGAGTCCCTCTTTAAGCCAGCAGATGCAGGACTTTCAGCACCAGGAATTCACCAGATGATCTTGGACAGCATTTCCAACTGCGACGGGAGCATCCACCAGAGCATCTGGAGGAACGTGATCATGGCGGGTGGGTCCACACTCTTCTCTGGCCTAAGGGAACGGCTTCTGAAGGAGCTTCGAGCACTCGCGCCCAAAGGTATGCCGGCAAAGGTGGAAGCACCCGCAGATAGGATGCACTCTGTTTGGATTGGAGCGTCAGTGCTTACCAGCTTGGCTTCGTTTAGAGACATGTGGGTGACCCAGCAGGAGTACAAGGAGGTTGGCCCAACTGTATTGCAGAAGAAATGCTTCTGAGATGAATTAATGGCCAACTAGAAAAGGAGGAAAAAAACGACACACACACACACACACACACACACAAAACCAACAACCAAAAAAGAAAAATAGTCAATCGGAACAGCTGGGGAGTGGCTAGTAAAACTTTTCACAAAGGATCAATGTGTTGCAGTTTTATATAGCATGGTAAGAAAAGGTCCCTTGTGTGCTTGCTTAAAGAAAGACCCCTTGTTTGGTATATTTTTGACGACCCTGTTAAGTTGTTTTATATAAGCTGGGGAGGAGGGGAGTGTATTTAAAATGGCTAGAATGGCAAAATTGTTTGTTTGCCAGACTTTTAAACCCCAGAGAGTCAACCACCTTAGATTCTACAGTATGCCCACAGGGCCTTGGTTCTTTGCCATTCGCCATAAATATCCAGAGAACATAAAATGAACCAATAATGCAGAATGGGGTTTCGCTGAGCTTAGCCCCAAACATAAAGAGAGAGAGATTTGAATAGTATTATTGGAGAGTATTGCAATGCCTGATGTGAGTGACTCCCCCCCCCCCAAACCTGTCGATTCAGAGCAGGGATGAAGAAACCTTTACAGCCTGAGGGCTATATCCCCTCATTGGCAAGCTTCTGGAGGCTGCATCCTTGTGGTGGGTGGGGCCAGAGGCAAAAAGTAGGTATGGCTCTTCTTTTCTTTGTACAGGGAAATCCAGAGGTTTCTGTGTACATCCCTAGCACATATACATACACCCAGTGCTGAGTTATCAAATAGGCAGAGTACGGACCAATCTATGGGCCCCATACCCTTTAGGGGCCCCACACATCTTAGGGGCCACGTGACAACGGATCCAAATAATATTGATTTGGTCTTGAAAGAAAATTATGTGGGTGCCTGCTCTGCCTATTTGGTAACCCAGCACTGGTAAGAAGCAGGGTCAGCATGGGGTATGGTCTGGAAAAGGGATTGTGGCTGGATAAGGGATGTGGCCTGGGGATGGACCTGAGGGGTCAGATCGAGAGGTTTGGAGGGCCACATTCATTTCCCCGCCAGTCAAAGTTCCCCACCCCTGCTGAAAGTGACGTTTCAGAATGAAGAGATGAAGCATTTGGAAAGTGAAGGTTCAGTGACACACTTCATCGTACGGCCTCGAGGGCCAAGGTGAGCTCCGGGGCTGCTGCCTCACCAAGCTGATCGGTGCACCTTTGCCAGGGCTGTTATGAAATCCGATTCAGCGGCCGGCGGCCTTTTGTTCTCCTTCGGCGTGTTACGCTTTAGCAGCCCCGCTGGAAACGTGTAAACAAATGAGGTACAACTGTAGCCAGTTTAAATATTTTACAGCTCACTGACTTCCATATGAGAGGGGATTTACAGGAGTGTACGGGGCTCGACTCCTGCGCTGGTAATCGAACGCAGAGGCAAATCCAAAACACACCACCTTGGAAATTTGACACAACGGAGGAGCTCGACACTGGAGTTGAGGGAGGACTTGGTTTTGCCTGCAAAAGTTCGGATGTAACGTACTCTCTGCACTCACACCTTGCTTAGGGGTTTCCCATAAGCATCTGGTTGGCCACTGCGAGAACAGGATGCTGTCCTAGATTGGCCATTGGCCTGGTCCCCTATTTTAATGTAGATCCCCTTCATTCCGTGGTGGCTGGTCCATTAGTGCCAACGGGGCATATCTCCACCAGTCTGTTCTCCTTGCTTACAACCAGCCTGGTGGGGAGGTTCATCAGCTTCCTCCTGCTTAGTCTCAGCGTTGCTCCTTGTAGAACTCAGAAGGGTTCAGAATGGACGGGACAAAATCAGATTCAGTTGTCTCTGCCTGCCATTGGCTCTGGTGCCACATACTGTGGACCTCGCCACTTTCTGCCCTGCTAGACCCAACGGGCACCAGCCATCACTGCCATCATTTCTTTCTTTTCTTTAATTTACCCCCTCCCTCCCCAAAAAGGTTCCTCAATATGAACACTATTGGATTTAGGACCTTGGCGGCCGCAGTCGTTGGAGGACAATAATTGACCTCCAGGGCATTTTGTGGTTTTTATACTGTGAGACCTGTGGGTATGGGGTGGTATAATAATAATAATACAGTGGTACCTTGGGATGCGAATGGGATCCATTCCAGAGCCCTGTTCGCATGCTGAACAGAACGTAAGACGCGTCTGCGCATGCGCGGGCCACGTTTTGCCGCTTCCATGCATGCACGTGATGTCATTTTGACTGCGCATGGGCATGCGGCAAAACCCGGAGGTAACGTGCTCCATTACTTCCGGGTCACTATGGAGCGCAACACGAAAATACTTATCCTGAAGCGTATTTATCCCGAGGTATGACTGTAATGGAGGTATGACTGTAATGGACTGTAATGAGGGACGCGGGTGGCGCTGTGGGTAAAACCTCAGCGCCTAGGACTTGCCGATCGCATGGTCGGCAGTTCGAATCCCCGCGGCGGGGTGCGCTCCCGTCGTTCGGACCCAGCGCCTGCCAACCTAGCAGTTCAAAAGCACCCCCGGGTGCAAGTAGATAAATAGGGACCGCTTACCAGCGGGAAGGTAAACGGCGTTCCGTGTGCTGCGCTGGCTCGCCAGATGCAGCTTGTCACGCTGGCCACGTGACCCGGAAGTGTCTGCGGACAGCGCTGGCCCCCGGCCTCTTGAGTGAGATGGGCGCACAACCCCAGAGTCTGTCAAGACTGGCCCGTACGGGCAGGGGTACCTTTACCTTTATGACTGTAGTAATAATAATAATAATAATAATAATAATAACAACAACAACAACAATAACAACTGTTCATATCTGTGGCTGGGTGTCCCCAGATCCTAACCCTACACCACACTGGCTCTCATTCCTGCCAATGAACCTTTGCCTTGCTTCGGGAATGAAAGAATAACAAAATTCCCTCAAAGGGAAAGATGTGCGAAGGGTTGTTGTTTTTCAAGAAATTACGATGATTGAATATGAATATTTTACACACCCAAGTTCAAAACATTGTTTTTCTTGGATGCCTCTGCCGCCTTTCATTACAGAGCAACCTGACGTTGTATAACTGAGACGTATCCCCTTTCACATCTGCGGGAAAAGGAAGGCTAATGAGTCTCAGGAAAGCTAACTCGCTGCATGTGTGGTGGCAGGGGCGGGGGGCAGAGAGAGGCGACGGCACTCAAAAATGTTTCCAAATTAAATATATATGTATCTAATAGTTACATGTAACCACTTAATAAAACCTTGGTAGCAGAGAGGGACGCGGGTGGCGCTGTGGGTTAAACCACAGAGCCTAGGACTTGCTGATCAGAAGGTCGGTGGTTCGAATCCCTGCAATGGGATGAGCTCCCATTGCTCGGTCCCTGCTCCTGCCAACCTAGCAGTTCGTAAGCACGTCAAAGTGCAAGTAGATAAATAGGGACCGCTCCGGCGGGAAGGTAAACGGAGTTTCTGTACACTGCTCTGGTTCGCCAGCTTAGTCATGCAGCTTAGTCATGCTGGCCACATGACCTGGAAGCTGTACGCCGGCTCCCTCGGCCAATAAAGTGAGATGAGCGCTGCAACCCCAGAGTCGGTCACGACTGGACCTAATGGTCAGAGGTCCCTTTACCTTTACCTAGCAGAGAGTGGACCAAAACAAATGTGGAGCGCTGCTCAACGCACAGACCCCAGTAAGATCATAAGAAGAGCCAGGAGCCCATCTAATCCATCGTCCTGTTCTCACAATGGCCAACCAGATGCCTGAGGAACATCTGCAAGCAGCACCCAAACACAAGAGCAAGAGCTTCCCAGCAACTGGTATTCAGAAGCATTCCTGCCTCTGGCTGTGGAAGCAGAGCATCGTGATCCCAGAATACATCTCTTTACACTTGATTACTTTGATATGCATTTCCCATTTTATTGCCATTCACCCAGTATTTGCTATTTCTACATAAGAAGAAGAATTCACATCTCCCCACCACCAACCCTTGGGGATGATTTTGAGTCTCGCAGCACCGTAGTATTTTTAGTAGCATGTCATGAAGGGACGTAGCGCACTGTTAGAGCATATGCATGCATGTGGAATGCCTCTGGTTCAATCCCTGGTGTCTCCAGGTAGTGCTGGGAAACTCTCCTGTCTGGAACTGCAGAGACTGACTGCTAGTCAGTATAGACAAGGGATGAGAGACTTGTGTGGCCCTCCAGGTGTTTTTGGACTCCCATCAGCCCTGGCCAGCTTGGCCAATGCTCAGGGGTGATAGGAGTTGCAGTCTAACAGCATCCCAAGCATCATAGGTTCCTGATCCCTGGTGTAGACCTTTGGTGTTCAAGTGGTACAGACCTAAGACCCACCGCTGGTTCCCAGCCTGCAACACGGAACCCGTTTTCACAAATTCAGTTTTGATTTGTACTTCGCAGCACTAATAAGGCATTTTATTAATCCTAAAACGGCCATTCGCATGGCAATATGCATAGGGTTAGCATAGCGATACTTCTAAGTGAAAACAGGTGGTTTTTAAACTTGTTCTTAACCTGAAGGCTGGGAAGCTGTTGAAAACCAGCGGTTTTTATAGAAAGGCTCACTCACAATGTTAGTGAAGGATCTGGGCTTGTTTGTTCTTCCAGATCCCATTCCAGTGAAGGGAGATGCTAGAAAAAGGCTCTTGCCACTTGTGGAAATTGAGAAGACGTCTCCTCAGAAGAATGTGTTTTGGCCCAGCCCATACCCTCTGACATTTCTCTGATGAAAATAGGGACATCCCAAGGAAAAGTGAGACATTCTGGGATCAAATCAGAAACCGTGATGGCTCCTGTAAATTTGGGGCTGTCCCTGGAAAATAGGGACACTTTAAGGGCCAGCCACCACATATAGTGCCCCTTTCATTTAGCTGGAGTCCAACATGGCGGCAAAAGTTTTGTTGTGACCCACCTGGGATGGCCTCACAACCCACCTGTGGGTAGACAATACTGAGCTAGTCTGACTTGACATAAGTCAGTTTTCTGAGTTCCTGGTGCACCAGCCAAGGATGCCTCTCCAAAGCTGACAATATGAAGCAG